ATAAACACTATCCCCCACTATGATCGATCCCCAAACATGAATTTTTTTTTTGTTTTTTTGTTTTTTGGAACACAAAGTCAAATTCGCATTTAGAACGGCGATGGATGAATATAAAGGTTCAAGGACGGTCTCAGAAAACTCCTCACTTAACGACTATCGCTGGCCAGGCGTTTGACGCTTGGTGAAAGGGTCACGTGTGATGCCAAGGTGAGTGAGTAAAGGTAATGTTTGATACATTGCAAGGCTTGGGTTATCAGGCAGTAAAATAAATGAATACTGGTTTTTTTTTCTTTTTTTTTCAGCTTAAATAGGGACTCTATGGATAATATGTTGCTCGGGTTAGCTTTTTGGCTCAAACGGTCCAAAGAGGGCATCTATCCTATCAACACAACAAAGACCTAGGATTTCGCCTCGACAAGTCCTTTGGGTAAGTTCTAGCGTTCTCATTGCGATAAAAAGTCTCAAAATTGCACAAAAAACCACACATCGAATAAGGAAAGGTAGATAGACATGTGCTCAGAAATAGAGATAACAACATCAAAAGTAAGCATGATAGATCAAGCACACAATCAAAGATATAGAGACACATACTGAATGAAAGAAGAGGGCTTAGCATGAAGTCATCATCGAAGCCCAAAGTCATATGTAATACAACACTCAGTTCGGTACAAATATTAAAATAAATTGAAATCTAACTACCATACAAAAAGAACATCAATAGGTAGAGATGATAACAAAAGAAAAGAAAATGATACTCTCCCCCAAACTTAAAAGGAACAGTGTCTCCACTGTTCAGCGTTAAAACTCAAAGGGCAAAGGAAAGAAAAACAATACCTCACGGTCGTTCTAAGTGTTATCGGCCATACCTCATCCAGCATCATCAATTCCACCATCGGGTTCGCCATCTGAGGTTCCCGGAGACTAATATGGCTGTCAAAATCCTTCAGGCGACATATCGCATATTGACAGGCGACATATCGCCTGTCATTCTGTCCCTCTCCTTATTTGCTTTTTTTTTTTTTTTCTTTTTTTTTTCTTTTTTTTTACAGTGAAACCCATTTGACACAGAATCAACGAAAAATCATATGTGGGTTGCCTCCCACGAAGCGCTTGATTAAACGTCCCTAGCTGGACATGAACACGACTTCATCCTCTTGGTTCTAGCTCGATGGTACAGAATGAAAACACTCGCTTGATCTTAAATGTTCCAGATAATCTTGACTCCACCTTTTCAGGGGAGAGCTTCAACTGAGAGTTGAAAAGAAGGACGCGTTGGCCCGGAGTGAGATCTTGCCACGAGGTTCACTGGTCGTGCTTCTTCTTGGCTTTCTTCTTGGCCACCACTATTTCATTGTTCATCGGGGTGGCAATGGCTTCAGCCCTCTTAACAATATACTCCCCCGCATCATCTTTCTTAGGAAAATGTTCATTGTTCAATTTTTTTATGGTTAGGGAATTGGTAGGACCATTCCCCAAATAATCTTTCGGCATCACTTCTTGAGTGAACTCCTTGATACAAGATTTCAATTCCTCCACTCGGTTGGATGTCGGCTTTTCTTGCGGAGACTTCTTGGAATTTAAGATGTTAAAGATGGCTTTCTCCTCATTGACCCTTAAAGTCAAGTTCCCACTGTGCACATCTATTAAAGCCCTTCCGGTAGCTAGGAAAGGCCTTCCAAGGATAATGGAGATTTCCTGATCTTCTTCCATGTCTAAAACTACAAAATCAACTGGGAAGATGAACAATTTTAACCAAGACATCCTCGATAATACCTTTAGGGTAGGTGAGAGAGCGGTCCGCCAATTGTAATGAGATGGTGGTAGGTGTGATCTCTCCAAGGTCCAGCTTCCGGAAGATAGAGAGAGGCATGAGATTGATGCTAGCCTCGAGATCACACAAGGCCTTCTCAATATGAAGTTCTCTAATGATGCATGGGATGGTAAAACTACCCGGATCTTTCAACTTCTTCGGTAGTTGTCTCTTTATGATAGTGCTACACTCTTCCGTAAGCTTCACCGTTTCATAGTCCTCGAGTTTGCGCTTCTTGGACATAACTTCCTTCATGAATTTGGCATAGTTTGGCATTTGCTCTAGAGCGTCCACGAAGGGGATGTTGATGTGGATCTTCTTGAAGATATTGAGAAATTTCTCAAATTGCTCGTCAAGCGCATTCTTCTGGAACCGTTGAGGGAATGGCAATGGGGGAGTGATACGAGGTGGGTTATCCGGAAAAGTGATCGAACCCAGTGTAACCACCGGTGCTTCCTTCTTCGCCTTCAAATTTTCCTCCTTTGACTTGTCCTTACCATCATCGTTGCTCTTGATAGGCTCCTCATCAACCATGGCATTTTGAACACTCAGGCTTTCAAGCTCTTTACCACTCCTCAATGTGATGGCCTTGCACTCCCTTGGGATCTTCTCGGTGTCGCTTGGGAAGGACCTTGATGATTGCCCTTTTATAGCATTAGCCAATTGGCCAACTTGTGTTTCTAGTGCCTTCATAGTGCCTCCCAAATTGGTGCAGTGAGTTTCAATGTTGTTGAGACGAGCGTCATGTTGATCAAGACGAGCCTTAGAGTCCACAATATACGTCTTCAAAAGCTCTTCAAGTGATGAGGAAGGCTTTTCCATTGCCGGTTTACTCGACTCCAGAGTTGGTTGTAAAACATTCCGGTTGTTGGCATAAGAGAAATTCTCATGGTTTCTGAGCCCGGGATGATAGTATGTCGGTAAGTTGTTGTTGGGCCTAAAATTGTAGCTACAGTTGACGAAGTGACATTGCTCATCATATGAATCACTTGAGCTCGAAGCTTGTGCCATCTTTACAGCTTCTTGATTACCATTGGCATTGGCTGCGGTAAGTCCCTGGATTTGATTAGTCAAGAGCGCCATTTGAGCCATGAGAGACGTCGTTTGATCCACATCATAAATTCCTGTTGCTCTCTTCACAGTGGACCGCTCGTTTTGCCATTGACAACTATTCATTGCCATGTCCTCAAAGAGATTGAGTGCATCCCCGGGTGTCTTTGACAAGATGGTCCCACCAGCCGCTGCATCAATATGAGCCTTAGTTTGCCCAGTAAGCCCATTGTAGAAAAGTTGAACTTGGAGCTAATCCTTAATACCGTGTTGAGGACACTTGCGGAGCATCTCTTTAAACCGTTCCCATGGCTCATATAATTGTTCATACTCAAACTGCCAAAATTGAGTAATCTCAGCCCTCAGTTGAGACGTCTTGGAGGGCGGAAAGAATTTGATGAGGAACTTTTGGGCCATGTCCTCCCATGCGGCTACACTCCCTGATGGTAAAGATTGAAGCCATGATCGAGCCCGGTCTCACAAGGAGAATGGGAAGAGTTTCAAACGGATGATCTCGGCACTCATTCCATTAATCTTCACTGTGTCACAAATCTCCAGAAAAGTGGCCAAGTGGATATTGGGATCCTCGTGCGGCAAGCCTCCATATTGGTTCTGCTGGACCATGTTGACCAGGGCCGGCTTGAGCTCAAAGTTGTTAGCATTGACTTGTTGACGTTGGATGCCCGAATAATTCTCGTTCACTACAGGCTTGAAATAATCTCGCAACGTCCGTTGCTGGTCTGCTTGGTTTTGTTTCTCGGCCATGTTCTTAGCCCTAGCTCGTCGTTCTCTCCTTAATGCTCGAACAGTTCGTTCGATTTCTGAATCCAAAGGCAAGAGTTCCGAGCCACGTGCTTTTTGCATGCACCTACGAACACAACAAAAGAAAAATAGATAAATATATACAAATAAAAAAAAACTTAGATTAAAACAAGATATTTCTTCACT